TTTTTATGGACGTGTTTACTTTCACTTTAATTCCTCTTAGTTTCAGTGTTAGTTTTAGTCTTTTATACACATCAGGAGCATGAAATGAAAGCAGTTGGCTCACAGTCAACACAGTAAGCATGTTTATTGAGACTTGTAGAGTCGATAACAGATACTAAAACACTTTATTTTATTTTATTTTATTTTATTTTAGTTAGTTTTCAATTTGTATATTTTATTATTCTAAAGTCTAGTTTTTATTTTTAATGCGATTAACTTATGTTACGTTTTTCCCCACATCTAGTCTTAGTTTAGTTTGAATGAACTATAATAACCTCGATATCATATGTGTAAAATCCCTCAATTTAGCTAGTATGATTCAAAACGACAAAGGAGAACAATTAATAAACATTTACAACAGAAAATGAATTGTGTTTAATTAAGAAGCCCAAAAATCAGCTAGTGAGGGCTCGGTGGCATAACTGGCTCTTTGCTAACATTTTTACTGAAAGGTTATTAAAACAGGGGAGGAGTGAGACAGTCAACGGGCGCTGTCGTTCTAACTGCCTGATGTGGGAAAACTAACAGCTAAAACGACTTTTGTTTCATCGTTGGCTCCTTTATCTTCGCCGACAACCTTTCACGGTTTAAGTACCATTTCCCATTCACAACCAACATTTAAATATTTGTAGTAAATAGCAGTTCGTCGCATTTCGCCCACAAACAGGTGGGGATTATCACATACATTAACAATAGAGGGCAGTGTTGCTTAAGCAGACATGAAAAGCTCGTGAAATGTCCGGGTGTGGTGACAGTGCGCCGGCGCCTGGGATTCATTTTTATTGTAGACGGTTGGTTTTATTACCAGGAAATCGCTTCACAATAAATCCCCAGTTCATACATGTCCAGGTCCGCCTTCCTGTGTAGGAGGACCTGTGAGCTGTAAAGCCCCGGTGTTTGTGCGGAATTAGCATATGGATACCTGCACAGTGCAAAACAGGTTTCTCTACGTGTTCCAGGGCAGAAAGAAGCAGGACCCCAGTCCCCAGTGTTTTCACACGGTTAATTGATCAATGAAACTGAGGTGGAACAACAAAGCAGTCCTCTTTGACCGTTTGGTCCTTTATTGCTCCCACGCTAATTAGTGGTCCGTTTGAATGTTGGTTGTAAATTGAACACGTTGAGCATACTGTTGTATATCAAGTTTCTTCTTGGCACACGCACAGTGCTGTGACTGTCCTGGCTGAATTTCTGTCTCATGATTTACTCTGGGTTCTCTTCATATCTTTTCAACTGACTCTAAAGTCGTTTCTAAACATAATTTTCCTCTGGGATTAAAATATTCTGATTCTTAAGTATAACAGTGATCACAAAGGAAAGAGAAGTCATTGTATCACAAAGCAGTGTGGAACATATTCCTGATTCCAGATTTCACCATCTCTAAATAAATATTAGTTGAACTCTACATACATGCAAGAGGATAGTTTAAGACATTGAACGCCCTGTTAAAGATAATGTTATTATATGAAATGACATTAGATGGCAGTCTTTCATAAGTAGTGATCCAAAGCTGTTTGAGTCATTAATCCTCTATGAAAAGTGGCTTTATTGTAGTTAGAAATTTTGTGATTTCAGGTCTCAGTACAGAGCATGTCAGGATATCTAAGCATATAAAATAAATGAAAGCATTTCAGTTTTTTCAACTTGA